TTATTTCTGTCATTAATGTATATTACACTGAACTCCTCAGTTTTTTCTAACAAAAGAATATTATAACTTGAACTTATTATCACTTGGACTAATGGAAAATACATAGTTAAGAGGATCAAGATAACAAGATAACATCCTCACTTTAATGACTGCAGAGTAGTTGGGATACATTAGGGGTTAAACTGAAGCAGAAGAAATTTTTTTCTATATCTGAGGTCGTCATACTTCCACTTTGGACCACAAATAGCAATGAGGTCAATACCAGATTACTATTTCAATATAGGGTAGCAATTTATTACTACATTTTCAGATCATACACAAGACAGATCAAGCACAAAAATATGCTGATATATATTATCGCTGAATGTTGGATGCAACTGTAGGCACAGAATTAACTTCTTGTCCCATATTTTAAACTTCCCAAATTATATTTTGTAGAGTTTCTTTGACAATTTATGAAACCAAGTAGAATTAGAAACCAAATAGAATGGTTATCTGATGCCATAATCAGAGGATTCTTTTGCTGAATTGACTCAGATCCTACCATCTGTAATCATTAACCACAGCAATATAGAAGATATACCATAGTTTTTCAATGATATTAGAAGGACTGCATCTTTCATTCAAATGTTGGTGGTCTAAATGACATTATTATAAGTTTAATTGTCATATTCTGATGTCACTTGAGCAGTTTCATTGGAATTATCACACATGGGAAATATCTCATGCAACTGTTGTAATATTTAATAACTAAAATTATTCATGTTATTGGAAAAGGATGATACATTCAGTGGAATATTCTGATAACATTCAGTTAATTGAACAACATTCATTAGAAGTCAACCCTACAAGGTAGACCAGACTAAGAAACCAATGCCATATAGGTCAGGACTACAGTATATTTATTGTAGCAGCTATAGTAACAGAATCTTGCAAGTCTGATTGTGCTTCCCCCCTCCCTCACTTCATTTCATGTGAACTAGGGAAAAGCTTTGTGTGAGTTACTTTCTGCCTGAGCTCAAACCCACTTATCTGACCATTGCCTTGGTATAGGCTCTTCCTACTGACCCTCAAGTCCATTCCCTATTCCCTCTACATTAGTCGTCTTTTGGTGCTATAACCCAAATGGGAATAATTTGTGAGCTAAATTCAGCTAAGGGAAGTTAGATTTCCTATTTCTATTTAAAGTCAGGCCTGCCCAGTTACTATTCAAACTAAGCAAAATCCATCAGATCATGATAGCATAATTTTTGCTGTCTGGGGGAGGCAGCAATCTTTACAACAATCTTTCAATGTAAAAGAACTTATCCATGTAAAGTACATGTTGTCCAATGTGAGTTAGATCTCAATCTTCATTTTCATTCAACCCTTTATACCTTTTTTTTTTAAATCCTAGCGTTATTTGCCAGCATGCATGTAATCCAACGAACAAAGATTCTGCTAACTTCTGATGAGTCCTAACCAATTATGAATGTATTTTTTTACCGAAAGAGATTCTATTTCAGCTATACAATCCAATTTTTATTGGAGTAATCAGTATTCAGCCCTGTTTCTAGCCAGAATTACAAACAGGACCAAACAAATAAACAGCTTTAATTTTAACAGGTGGTCATGTGAGATGGAACTGATTAAGACTTATCAAACATATTAAAAAGCCAAATGATTAACTGCACATGTCCTGTCATCTTCCTGCAAGCCAAATTTGTTTATGCAAAACTGAACAGAATGTCATAGAAAGACGATTTGTTAACAAGCGCTTTACATGTCATATGCCAATTCTTCCTCTTTTAAGTTGGAAACCAAACATCACTAAAACACTCAGCAGCTTGCCAATTACTAGAATATGTAGTATATGGTAAATATAGTGCTTTAGAACAGTGTTCCTCAACCTTGGCAGCTTGAAGATGTGTGGACTTCAACTCCCAGAATTTCCCAGCCAGCAAGGTTGAGGAACAGTGCTTTAGAATATCTACTTTGTTCTGAAAATGTTTCTATGCTATGTACAATGACAGCTGTAGATAATTGGCTTTATTTATTCCTGTTAGGCAACACAGACAGGTATAGTTAACAGTGTGAGAAGATAATGGTAACAGTGTGAGAAGATAATGGTACCAACAACAACTAAAAATAGAAGCAAATCTTTGAAGAACTGGAGAGAATTTGACTGAAACAAGCAACATTAGAAACTTTTTACAGCAACCCTTGATATCCAGTATTTTAATAACCCAACAAACTAGGTCTTAATGGAATAAAAATAATCGTGTATTTTTAGCTTATTACAGATTAAAAGACTATAATAAACAACCTACTCAATCTTTCACAAAATTATGTCATGTTTTTACACTTCACTTTTTTTTTAAACTGGCAGATATCTCGGTGTAGAAAAAGGAACTAACCCTATATTGTTTTAAGAGCAGAACATCTCTTATTTTTGTTAAATGTTATGTGAATTCTGTGGCTGCTGTTTATGTAACAAATCCTCTAATTTTATCAGAAATTTTATCACAGTTGACAAGCTCTAACATCTGGAATCTCACTATTCCACCATTTTAGACTTATACAGGAGGAAAAACCTTCATAAAATGGCCAATATTAGAGACACAAGGTTACTAAAGGCAAACACTTATAGGAATCATGCTTTCTCTACTTCCCATTTTGCTCTGGTTTAATGTCAATGCTGGTGACTGGCATAAACTTTCTTTCCGGGGAGACAGAAAAATATGAGCATCCTATTGATCCAAATCTGAAGGGAAAAGGGATAATCTTGCAGGGAATTCCATGCAAATCGTAACTCAATCCAAATTCAGAAGTCTTCGTATAATTGGGTGACAGAATAACTAATCAACCATCTAAATACAGTACCCCACATTGGGCAAACACTATAAAAGCTCTGATTTGGGGCTAAATAATCTGAGAAGAAAAGGTCCTTTTGAGATTCCTCTGCTCTATCTCTAAATGAAGTCACTCAAGCAAAGTGGTAGCAGCTGAAGAGCCATCTGTGAGCTTTTCACTTCCTGACAAGCCTGGGCTTGTTCCAGGGAACCTCTTTGAGCCATCTAAGGCCAGGTCACCCTAACAGTTAACAGGTTCATGAATCAGGCAGAGGCTTATGGGGTCCTTCACTGAACTTGCCTTGAAGTAATAGGACCCAAGCAGATTGCTGGCTCTTCCAGAGCTGAACATACCTTCCTATGTGGCTGCCTCTTTGGTCCTAAGGTCCTTCTCACAGCCTGGAATAACCAGCCAGTTTCATCTAATTAGCTGGTCCAGATCAAATAAGGGAGCAATATAGCACTCTCTTAACTGGTCTGAGTTCCATCTCCAGGAAAACTATAGTTTCTGAAAGACAAGGAGAATGCTAACTTGACCCAGCCATTAAGCAGTGGCAAGTTGCTATTGATAGGGATTCCCCCCCTCCTTTCTTTCTCTCCATGAATTTCCAGAAGTTACACCAATCCTCAAAAACCAGGACTGTGCAATGGAAAGGTACTAATCCTCCTTTCCCTTTCCCTTCCTGATACATGTCCACCTCTCCATACAAGGTGGTTTCTCATTTCCCATCCAATACTCCCAACACAGAATGTTGGAAAGAAACTAAATATAAAGAGGTTCAGGGCTTTTTCTGTCTATCTGCCAGCAAGATAATTCTCTGAAAACAGAACTGTACCAACAGTCAAAAGCCAAACTCACTCTCTTCCTTTTCCTCCTTGATACCAAATTCTGTATTGGACCCACTGAATATATGTTGCACCCACTGTCTGCCTTAAAAACTTCATTCTACAATTTCATACATAACCCCCAAAGACTGTTTTTTAATATTCCACGCTGAATGCTGTTTCCCTAATGATTGCTACCTTTCCCTTTATTGTCATTTCCAGTTGGCTATTACTTTTCCTCACTGAATGCTTTGTGAACGCGTTTCATGTTTTTATTGCTACTCTCTCAGTACTGCTTATTATTAAATGCTAATTGCCTGATAAATGCTATTTCTCCAAGAGTTGCTATTTTTCCTTCACTACTTTTTCCACTGATATGCTTTTACCGTGTTGTCCCTCAGTAAAATTCAAGCCCTTTCTATAAGGTGTACATGAATGTCATTTTTGAGTTTCTTATTTGTTCTGGGATGTATCTTTTTTAAATACTTTTAGTTAATAGTTCTCTGAGAAACAACAGCTTGGGGAAAAATGAAAGAAAAAAATAATTTATACTGCAATCTGAACAAAGAATTTAAAATGAATTAAAATCTTAAATATTTTCTATTGCAATTTTCTATTGCAATTTTCTATTGCACCTTTATACAGAGTTTTCCCTAGTGCTTAATATCTGACACACCTAGGGTATGGAAAAAAATCTTTTTTTAATCCAGTCTAATTCCATAAACTGGCAAATGATGATTAAAATAATTTTTGCCATGTGTCCAATATAAGGAACATGGTTTTTAGGTCACTTTCAGTTCTACTTTTATCAAAGGCAAAAACTTCTAATTTTGTATATTTGTGTGTGTGCACGCACGCATGCGTGCGTGCATGTGTGTGTGTCTATACACTTTCATTTAGTATAAAATATATTAAAATTTAAGCCATTAAGATACAAAGATTTAATACAAGAATTCTAAAACAAAAGGTAAGCTAAAATTACTTTGATTTTACTTTAGTGACCATGTAGTTTTCTTGGCAGCAATTCAGAAATGGTCTGCCAAGGCCTTTTCCCGGGATGCTGTCTAAGTTTCCAATCTGGCCAACTACCCTGAGATTCATGGCGTTTCCCATCTGATCCTACTTGGTTTCCAAGCCCAAGAAAAGTTGTTTGGGAAAAGGAGTTCTGGGTAATCAAATAATTTTATCTTAAACATAGGCAAAACTTCATGTTTGTGCATGCCAGATATGAAATATATCCATCAATAATACAAATGTACAAACCTTCAGTATGGCCTGGTACAAGTTAAGAAATTGGTGCAGTTCACATTTGGAAAAGGTTATTAATTTTTAAGCATGCTGTACCTGTATGACTTCGAATATGTACTCTCAGAGTTCCATTGCTTGCAAACTTCTGCCCACAATATGGGCAAATCTTCTCTTTTTCACCTGTGTGAGTCTATAAAAGAGAAATATAAATATTTAATTTCCTTGCAAAAGAAAACAAAATTAATTCTTTATTTTTAAATTTTATTCTTCCAATAATTTGAATTGTTCATTTATACGACATGATACACTATGATATCAAATTCAGCTTTTAAAAGTTTAATGATGCTGCACCTTAACACAGTAATGTAAAAATCCCAAAACAAATCTGACTTTTCCTTGCAAAATAAACCAGGTTACCTACTTGGCCAGCCAAATTAGTTTTTCATTGCACAAACATTTTGACTCATAAAAATTAAATTAATGTTTACTGGGATGTTAAAATGTTTGCAGCATTTAAAAGATGACTTTTACTTTAGTATCTCTACTTCTTTTTTATTAAAAATTTTTATTAAATATTTTACAAAGAACATAAAAACTAACACAAACTAATAAAGAGTAAAAAAGGCAAAGAAAGAAAAAAAGAACCAAGAAATAAAACAAAGAACAAAAAGAAAAAGGCGCTGATTTATTTCGCAGTAAATACAAGTACAATTACAAAATTAACTCTTACCCTATGATTACCAAAAAAAAGCTCACTTTTTCCTGTTATCCAATTTTTTTTCTAATCATCAAAACCACAAATCATAAGTACATTGTTTTCCGTTTCATGCAAAAAGTCTATAAGGGGTTTCTAGTCAGCCATAAATATAGATACTGTTTCTTCTCTAATCAAGGAAGTTAATTTAGCCATCTCTACAAGTTCCATCATCTTCACCAGCCATTTCTCCATTGGGGCTAGTGTCGAACGTTTCCACTTTTGAGCAAATAATAGTCTTGCTGCAGTTGTCATATATAAAAATAAAGCTCCATGACTTTTTTCTAATTGCCTGTCCATTAGACCCAAAAGAAAAGTCTCTGGTTTCAGTTGTGTTTTAATCTTCAAAATCTTCTGAATTAATGTATGTATTTGTATCAATTTTGGGGGGCTTTTTTACATGTAACATGGTAAAATGACCCTTTATGTTGTTCACATTTCCCACAAAGATTCAAAGTACCTTTATACATTCTAGACATTTCTCTGGTGACAATTACCAACAATATGTCATTTTATAAAAATTCTCTTTCAGGCTAGAACGTAATGTAAATTTCAATCCTTTCAACCACATATTTTCCCATTGATCCATCTATATATTATATCCAAAATTTATAGCCCATTTTTATCATACATTCTTTCACTTGTTCTTCTTCTATCTCATATTTCAGCAAAAGTTTATACATTTTAGCAATAACATGGTCATCATTAGTACACAATTCTATTTCAAACTCAGTCTTTGTTCAAAACCGTAAAATCTTTTATCTACTTTATACCTTTCTGATAATTGTATGTAAGAAAATCACTGACAAGTATATCCTTCTGCTACCAAATCTTTTCTTGATTTCATTTTACAATCCCCTTGAGAAAATTCTAGTACATCATGGCAGGTTAACCATTTATGTTTACTGATCATTTCTCATATGTAGAATGCTTCTTGCACTGAAAGCCACAAAGAAATTTTTGTGCAAAACCTAAATTTATATTTATTCCATACTCTAAGAATAGCCTGATATAATTTTAAAAATCTACGTTCAACTTAGCTTTATCATACCATAGATATCTATGCCATCCAAAACTCAAATCGTGACTTTCTAAATCCAATAACTTTCTATTTCTTAACAACACTGGCAGCACTAGGGCTTCTATTTGGGTCTGTTCTTAAATCAATTTGAAGTGGAAAATGTATTTTTTCTTAAAAAATAGTAAGATTAAAACTCGTATCCCAGCAATTATTCCACTGAAAACTACTGTATTTTCTACTGACAATAATACCACAATAACAAATATATTTCATTGCAAAGATTCTTGGTCTGGTTACCTTTGTGACTGAAAATATTTTCAAGAACTTTCAGCAATTTTCATTAATATGAGACTGAATGTTAGACATACAGTAATCAAAAAATTCTTTGATAAAATGGGAAAGTAAGCAAATACTTAATGCAAATGTAGTTCCAATTTAAAATATAATTTGCCTAGATATTACAGAATGCTTCTAAACTTCTGGCTGTAGCCAAATGAATTTGTGTTTCAAATCAGCATTATTGAATTACCACTGGGAAAAACAGATTCAGCATGTCCTTATCAGCAAACATCATAAGATAGCAGCACAGTGCAGGTGTAGGACATAAGATGCTTTTGCCAGAAAGATAGGTTCAAGTTTCATAGATTCAGCTGCTATTATTATTATTATTATTATTATCATCATCATCATCATCATCATCATCATCATCATCATCATCATCATCATCATTATTATTATTATTCAA